ACCAGATTTTGAAAGATAATGCATAATACTTGCTTGCATAAACTATCCCAGAAATGTGTGACGATGTCACAAGATGTGTTCCCTAAGATATCGGTACTCTGCTGCGTTCATTAGATGTGGAAATTCAAGATCCTGTGATGTTACACACGGTGGGACGAACACAGGAACTGCTTTGAACATGTCACACAGTCAAAAACCCAAAGATATTGTATCGTTTGCATCGTTTGCGCTGAGATCAACGGTCAGAAGTTTGACCTCTGATTATTTCATACTTGACACATCACACGATATCAATGGCTACTGGCGTATCGTCTGCAGAATTCGATAATGTAAAATATTACATACGAATTTTGCATATATGTAAATAGTATTAGGAAAATTAAATCTAAATTGTAGTATCTCTTGTATAATATAACATTAAAGTCGTCAAGAATGCAAAGCATCGCCTGAAATAAATGGTTACAGGGGTAAGCGCATTTAACATTAAGGGCTATCTCGCCAAATTTGGCAAGAAAGTGCTACAAGTCGCCAAACTTAGTCCTATATTTATGTAACTGTAACTTGACTGACTATATGTAACTGTAACTGTATCTGGCTCTGGCCCTATATACTGCAACAGTGTATGCCTTCTAGCAACTTCGAGAAAGCGAAGGTACTGGAAATTTCTTGCTGAACGAGGTAAAATAATATATACGTCCAATGGAGAGCATCATTTTTCAGTTTAGTTCAACCCTGAGTTCAGAGTTTAGCCCAAAGTATTGAGAGTACTGAAAGATTACTGTTCGAGCTTATGCACTTGAGATTTTTTCATCGCCTTGTATTCAACGTTCTGAGTAGTTTTAAGTGATCATTACTGATTGTGTTTTGTCATACTGAGAAAAGCTGTAATAATATTTTTGTGCGAAAAGTTCCAGAATTGTAAAGTTTGTTTGGTGGCTGGAATACATTTCATAAATTTCTGTGTGCATTCAATTCATTAAGAACCTGTGCGCACGTAACAATATTATGGCAATAGAATATATATTTTAATTTTCGTTATGATAGTGAAGAATACCGTGATCTTTTGTCCACTATTTGTGCATCTTTCAGTAGCCTCATGTTCCTAATATTTATTTTATCCTCTCATCAACCACACGATGCTTTCATACCTCATTTGTAGTTACTGAGAAACATAAATGTGTTTCCCAGAAGCTTTTTACTTTCGCCCATACACTTTTACCTATTTACCTTGTTTTATTCTTACACATACAACTCTTAGGAGTCGTTTTTCTGAACGTTTGAATGAATTCAGAATTACTCACAAAATTTAAACAGGCTAATAAGCCCCTTTTTCAAGGGACCAATTGGCTCTTTCTGGAGAGTATACTAAAGCATTGAATGTCGTAGCCATAAATTTTCGAGCATATATCAGGTGCTCTCGATATTTGAAGATGGTGATACCCATCTGCACACATAAGTGTTCGTTAACGAAATCAGTTTTATCTTTTACTTGCGCTTAGATTCTGAAGAAAACAAAATGATAAAAGGATCGTGTTAACAGCAACTAAGCTGAAACATGTAGCGGAAAACGTACTTTCGTTTGATTTTAAAATAATAAAAAGTATTAGGAATTTTACATATGCATAGTAATAATAATAGATTGCTCATTGTGCAATAAAGCCTGATTCCAGTTAGAAAGTTGGCAACAGCCATAAGAGTGTCAAAACACACAATACTAATTATCATAATTGTTATTTTTGTATTCAAATTATACATTGTTGTTTCAAATCTGAGCATCATTGACACCATAAGCGTTTTTAAAGACAATTCTCATGCTATATACTTAAAATTACCGAAACATGGAAAAGATATTCAATACAAATTATGTAATAAACTTTAAATAAGAACTTTAAACTGTATCTAACATATGGGTCATCTCATTCCATATAGTATACATCCATGTCAAAACATTAAATAATTTTAAACGAAATTCCAACTTTAGAAAAGTTCAATTAATTGTGATATTTTTATTGCCACTTTCTGATAATTTGCACTCTTATGAAAAGTTTCCAACTCATTGATGACCGCGGGAATTAGCAAAATAATCTCGTTTGGTTTGGTTTGGTTTATGTAATTATGGGAAGGCCTTAAGAGCTACCTGCATAAAGGAAGGGATGATTTCGTGGAGGACTTGTCTAAGGAAAACTGGGTCGTATAAACGTTACACATGGGGAAAACCACGAACACACCTATGCAGCCAGCCCGTTCTCGGGATTCGAACCTCAGACCAAACTACCAGTGTTTAGCAACTTAGCCGCTCGGCCGCTGGTGGGCTCAAATCTCATTTGGATAACTTTGTGCTGTAAGTTTATTTTATTCATAAATAGTAAGAAGAAGCCTTATGTGAGAAAAAAGAAAAGTTACGCACAAAAATAAAACCGATACAGCCAACATTTATATTTTTAGAGCCAGTAGATACTGTTTAATTAAAGATGAGGCGCAAATCCATGCATGCATACTATACACGTGTACTAAACTACATGTATAGCAAGCGCATGCACGGAGTCACTGTTATCGCATTTATATCATGTATTTAAGAAGGAAACTAACTTTGTGACTTCTCAACTTTATTATCTATATTCGAAAATATACCAAAACAGAGCAGTTATGTTTTCGAGTGTCGAAATCGGGAAGCATATAATCAAGAAATAGATATTTATTTCATTTTATTAATTTTACATCTTCCCATCTATTTAAAATTTTAATACAGCGACCATAATATTTACGATATCTGACTTAGAAAGTGTTATGTGCCTTTTTGGGTTGACACATAACACGATAATAAAATTTCTTAAATGGCTAGCCTACTCCTATCCATACAAAACATTTGCGTTGTGTTAAATTTTACCGGATTAACCCGTAATTCAATTTTAGGTGACCTGGTGAATGACATGATTAAATCAAAAAAAGTCATACACTTAAATATTTCAATGAAAATAAATTTGTTTATTGGAAATGAACATCCATTAATCTCAAATATCATGTGATAGTACCAAATAAAAAAAGTAAAATAGCTATATTATAGTTATTAAAGATATTCCCGGGAAATATCAAAAAAATAAATTCAACATAAGATTATATCTAAATTGTAAAATTTTACCCTTAATACAAATAGGTTTCACATTTTCTGTAGACTTATTTTTCCATATTTGCACATAAAAATTTAATTCTATTATTAATTCTATTAAGTTTAACATATTTCTAGACATTTTCTTTCACAGGTTTTCTATATGACAAATTTCAATTTCTCATATACAATTGAATTTACACCCTTATTGCACACAAAAAAATCAGTTATCCAAAGGGAGAGCAACCTTAACAAAATTACCAGGAGGAATTATATTCCACAGAATTTATACCAGAGTAATGACTTAATGTACCGACTATTAGAACTAATTTAAATTTCAGTGAACACTCCTTTTACTGCAGAACTACAAGATATATATTTTTTTACATTCTGAACCTTAACTATTACCTTTAGCTGAATAATTCAGTTTACTCTAACGGTTCTTCAAATAATAATAATAGTAACAATAAAACAAGGTAATTTTTTTAAGAATGAGCTTTTAGAACTTGAAGTATTTTACCAGATAACTCTAATAATAATAATAATAATAATAATAATAACGAACCAAATTAATTTTACTTCTCTTTTTTTTCTTAGGAAAACTTCTAGGATATTATTTACATTAATAATTCCAAGCAAAAAAAAAAAAAAAAAAAAAAAAAATCACTTTATGCATACCTCATTTTTATCTAATTCAATTGGAAGAATATTTTTTTTTCCTTTAACAATTAACATCACCCACACCTATAACACCTCCGCGAGATCTTGTAAACCTTAAGATTTAAGAAATTATCTGAATTTAATGAAATAGCAAGATAAAATTTAAGTAGAAGCTGTAGAAGGTTAGACGCAGAATTAAACGCATTAACTTGTTTATGCAAATTCTAGTTGCTAACGCCTAAGTTTTTAAGCTGTGGCTTTTTTGCCAAGAGTTAGAGAGGGAGAAAGTGAGCCGCCTTACCATTGTATTGTACGCGAGTTTCCAATCCTCAGCTGCTGTCCGCCTTTAAGGCCTGAGGTTTAGTCCTCTTGATATTTAAAACGTATTGTAGTTTAGGCAGTTTGCGTACTACATACGTAATAATTTAAAAAAACCAGTCTTAGCGTTAATTAATGGTGTGTAAAGCACTCGCAGTTAACCCTTCCTTTTAGTTAGTTTGTAGTTTTTTTTTTTTTTTTATTATTAGTATATATATATATATATATTTTTTAAGTTCAGACCACAAGTGGTTGGTCTCTTGTATCCCGAAGTGCGGGAGCACCAGTAATATCGGACAATAAAGGGTAAAGTTAACCCTTCCTGCTTGTGTCGTCCATTCCACACATATTTGAACATAGCTTGAGTAAGCTCCTGTTTCTATTGAGGACACGTCATATTCCCGAAACAAATCAAAAGACATACAAGTCCTGATAAGGCCCCAAACTATTTTTGGAATCAAAAATATATGTTACTATATCTATTGTTTTTCGTTATAGAAGTATTTCGCCAACGTTGTTGCTGCCATATTTCTGAAAGTTGCATGCCGGGTTATATTTTACCTCAAAAGGTACGGAAATAGCATAAAATTAAATGACTTTTTTTAACACGCATTTTACATATTTCATTGACATTTTGCTCTAAATAAAACACTAAATTTGTTAATTTTAAAGTTTATTTTCATGGAATTTTAAGATATTTATCAATTAAAAGGAAAAACTTTTTCATGTTATCTTCTTTAAATATTTTTGGTTTCTTTTCAGTTAAATTTTATTCTGTTAATTCGGATATTAAAATCGCGTGTTATCTTAATATTGGTCTTACCTACACGAGGAGTTTAAGATTGTTTTAAGGTTATGTTCACAACAGAAATAAGTTAAAAAAAATCAATTCCGTTTATTTGATTATAAATAGCTACGATTTTACCCTTCACACTTATTACTTAGTACCACTTTTAAAATCTATAACTAGCGTTAAACCTCAACGTAAATACCATATTACTTTAACGGCTTCTTCAGTGACAATGCATTATAGGACTTAAATCAGGTAAAATGTGAAAATTTATTATAATAATTTTAACAAGGATATTTAATATAAAATAAGGTGCTACTTTGGCAGATGGTTGCACGGATTTTGGCGATAATCTTAGTTTTTTTTTTTTTTTTTTTTTTTTTTTTTTTTAATTAAAGTCAACTGCATATTAAAAGCATCGCATTTGCTTCGTTTATTTAGTAATGTATTTAAATTCATTCATTTTATATAACTGATATTCATAGACTTATGACATGAATAACAAGTTCAGTTAAAATTTTTCATTAGAACTTCTTTGTACGATTTTCATAACTCATTGTGAATTTATGTTCTTAACTTTTAAACTGGGTATACTTTAGCGATGGTTAGAGTTTTAAGTATGAAACAGACAACTTTCAAACATCCCTCGTTCTTCAGTAATCTATCTGCGTTCAGAACCAAAACAGTCTTTGCTGAGTCTCAGTGTATAAAGATTCTGACGAGCTAGGAATCTACTATCTAAAAGAGTGCTTTGTTTCCCTACAAGTAATGAAGTAAGAAGTTTTGCAGCGTGCTTCATTTAGCTTTGAATCTAACTGAACATTTATAAGGTCGTTATATCCTAGCAAGTTTCGTGTGTGGGTATTTAAAAATTATTGAAATGTTATTTTAGTAATAATAACAAAGAAATTTTACACTATGTATTTTGAGTTCTTGTCTTCTGTAGCGGCCTTGGTGAAATTATTGATTTGGCGCATTTTTGTCTTGGCGAGAAGGGTTGCGATCTATGCATGTGCGGGAAACAAACGGTTTAAAATCCGAATATTTTCTGTAACTGCATAGCGTTTTTTTTTACTGTAAAATACTCACTATGCTTACTAGTTTCGATCTTCTATCAAAAGAAAAAGAACTCTGAAGTCTTAGGCATTATTTATCAGCAGTTGCCATATTGGCCGTAGTGTAGAATTAGGTGCCCCTTCGATTAGCGACATTTTTTTTTTTTTTTTTTTTTTTTTTTTTTTTTTTTTTTTTAAGTTTGGCGATGAAACCTAATTTCTGGTTACCGTGATAGTTTTAACTTTGTTTTAGCTGCCTGATTTTTGTAAAGGAAAATAGATTGATGTGTACATGGACAAATTTAAAGCAGTGCGCAATGCCTAATTTGGGCAATTCTAGGATGATTTTAAAGTGAAAACACATCGATATGTACATGGACACAGAGCTTGTACAATTCTTTGACTTCTTATTTTATTTTTGTAACGTAACGGCCATCTTGAAATTGTGCCTTCCTGGCGCCGATCTTGGCGTCAAAAAAGAATCGCCAAAAAACAAGGGGCACCCAATTGTAAACTTTTACCGCTGTATTAAATAAAATAATAAATATAATTTTCACGAAGGTTTAGCAGTAAATAGAATTGCCCGACATATTTATAGATGTTGTTATTTTAAACAAATTGTTTAAGTAATCGTACTGAACAGATAATTAGGTACTACTTGATTTTCATTGCCCCGTAATCAAAACAGCGCCAGCTTTTAACTACTCGCATATAATTTGTGGCTGCCATACCTTCGCGATTGCTTGTAATATGATAGCAAAAGTCTTATCTTCCTCAAAAGATTTCAGCCACATGAATTAGGAAAGATACACATCTCTAGGTGATGTAGAGCCGTACCGCTTTGCTACTTTGTTTCCTCATTTAACAGAACGCTATATTTTTCCAATTTTTTGACACATTTTGGGATGAGCATCCGTTGTAGAATCAACAAAATTTAACGTGTGATTCGCAGTTGAATGACTGCAACAAGCCTTTTCATGTCCGTCTGTTTTATAGGTCGCTACAAATTTGTATATACTGTCGATCCATCTAATACCTGGTCTACAGTCGTTGATATCCGTGTGCTTGCTATTTGAAATCTAACAAGACTAGCATTTATTTACATTTGAAACTCTCAGTAGAATAGTGAATTAAATCAGTTTGTGCACCATCTTTTAGAGTCCAGTAGGAACAAAAGTTATTTTTCAATTTTTTGCACTGTATATTTGGTCTTCCTGCCCATTGGCCGAATTTTTTTTTTTTTCCTTTTGTTCGTAGAAACTCAATCTTAATTGTAAAAATTGTTGTTTTTAACTGTATAAGGTATTAGAGATTTTTCTGCTTCTTACAATTTGTAACGAAGATATTTCGAGGTTTTATGTATTTTTGTCTTGCCGCGAAATGAGAACTGAATTGATTGAATGAGAAATATATGTATATAATTTAATAGGCCTTACGTGGTATCCACATCAGATATTTTTGTTTACAACTTTTCATTTGCACCTCCTCATACTTTCTTCTACATATAGTTTCATTTCGTGGCCATTTACGCATATTTTATGCTTTATTTACCTGAACTATTATGAAAACATAAATATTCGGTTTGGAACTTACTTGCTTCGAATAAAATTTATTTTCTCTTAAAAATGTTTTTTAACAAATATTTCTCACCAATTCAAAAAGTCGCCAAAGAGTTGAAAACTTTTCGTGGGGCCGCGAATAATCATAACAATTACCTGAAAACTTTTTAATTTGGAGTTTTGCCTAAAGTTAATGCACTTGGCATGAGTCATGGTTAAGGTGTGTAATGAATTATATTATAATTGATATGTTATATTACGCTAGTAATTAATTATATTATTAACGTATGCATTATATTATGTATCTGATGAATTATATTATTAATTAATGTATTAAGCATGTAATGAATTATCTTATTAATTAATAGAAATGTAGTATGGCCAAATTGACCGTGAAAATTTTAAGAAATAAAGAAAAAAGGAAAATTGTTGAATCCCTGTGATATACTCGTTCTGCCTTCTTTCTTCTGTACACAAAATCAACACCACTTCGTATTTTTAATGATTATTCCTCATACATAACTATATATTAAACCGTAAAAACTACACTAACTGAAGTGTGTATATTAATTATATTATTTACAGAGTATCTTCGTTTTCACTTTTGGCTTCCAAGCGCCCTCCTCTGTTCCGCTTCTCTCTAGGTCTCTCATTCTAAGAACTAAACTTTAGCCGCTTCACTGACAAAAAGATAGCGTCCCTTATGTGTTTCGTTGTTTGACGCTACCAGTACGTCACAATCCCCCTTGTGAGAATTATTTTATTCATCTGGGTTTAGTATTAATAAATTTCCATAAAATTCAGCTTTATAAAATTAATGTAATAATACAATATATAGAATTTATTACAATACATACAATAATTAATACCATACATACAGTTCATACACCTTTCTATTGTTATAGTCTGTTACTTTAAAATAGAAACTTAAAGGTTATTTTTCGCCTCTCGAATCGACTTGTAATCATGGGGAAAACAGTTGCGGAAAAAGAGATCAAGTCGCAGAAATTCCTATCTCCCACTTCATTTCAGTTGTGTTTCGCTACATGAAAAGTGCGCTAATGAAGGTTTACTTAACCTGCAGTCTCAAAGTCCATGGAAAAAGCGGTGATGATGACACGAATGAAAGATAACAAATGTCAGGCTGAGGACTGGCAACGGTCTTGAGGATCCTGTTTTAGTCTATGTATTCAGCAAGAAGAACTTTATCATACGAAGCTTCTTTGCTGTCTGGTGACAGTTTGTTTTTTTACTCTTTGGCTTCTTGGGATAAGGAACCCCGAAGCGGGGGATGCATAGTTTATTTTCCTACCAGGGAAAGATGATGCAGAATATGAGTTTCTATGTGCAGCTCTCGACAAGGTTTAGTTATGGCTCCTCAAATCAACAAATTGGTTAGCGACCCCTTGGACCGCTTATAGAGAGAAGCGTTAATAGCGTAAAGTTAATAGCCCAGGTTCTTGAGCTCTTTCTCTGGTGTTGTGTCTCTATGTCTAGTGATTTTATGCTACACAGATCATGCTTCCGCGTATTTCATTACTGTATGTCTTCTCGAAATCCTTTATCGTCTGAAGACTGAGAGGGGGTATTTACGTATTAACGCAGCCATCTTAGAAGTCGCCAAATTTTCAGAACGTGTCAAACTCTGTAAAATATGCGTATTATCGTTCTTCCGACTACTAGGCTCATCACAGTCCTTTTGTCAAGCAACGGAACCATTTAGGCATGCGATCTTTTTCGTTGCATTCCAAGTTCCAACGCTTTTTACAAGTGAATCGTAATACTTTGTGCTTTAAACTTAGTTTTAAAATAGCAGCTTGTAAAATTTGCCAGCAATGGAAGAAAATGTGGCAAAATTTTACAGGAATACAGAAGTTTGTGGAAATTTTTCTAAGGGAAACAACGAGAAAATACATTTCCTTGACAGCTGTTGTTGCCGAGATTTGCACGAAGCCCAGTTTTCGAAATTCTCTCTTATGTTTCTTAGGCGAAAACAGGTCACGGTGTACTTCGGGAGAACAGCGCAAAAACTGCAAAAAGGTTTAAAGAAGAATTTTTTTTTTTTTTTTTTTTTTTTTGTATGACATAAAGTTGATAATATTTGGCGACTTACAATAAATACCGACATTTTGGGAATCTCTCCAAAAACGACACGAGAACCTCCAACTTGCGAAAAAATTGCTCTAGGGTGGTTACATTAATACGTAAGTACCAATATGTGAATTATTTAATTTCCAAAAAACCCGGTTACAGTAAGAATATAACAAATGAAATGTAGTAATGGATAAACTACAGGTAACAGTCACCGTATTATTCCTTTAAAGAAACCTACTACATTCCATTAGGAATACTTAGTAATAGTAACATTAAAATATCTAATAAGATATCTTCATATCTACTTCCCTGTAAATTAGATCTCGCCCTTTCTTATTGTTGTCTCTACTACTCCTTAAAACTCAAATCATCCATTAATTTTAAAATTTTCAGTATCTTCCGTTAAACAGCTAGAGAAGGGGGAATGTGCGAGAATACTGTAAATCGTAATGTATTTACCAAAACCTCAAATCTGGCTCTTTTCGTCTGAAACTTTTCATTTTCAGCAATAACTCCAATAAAATGCCCGATGAAGTGGAATTGGATACCGAAATTATGCGAACGCTTAATCGGCTGCGAATGACGGGAAAGTACTGCGATGTCGTCTTGGCCACCGAAGATGGAGGAATGTTCCGCGTTCATAAGGCCGCCATGTGTTGGTGCAGCTCATACTTCAGAACCGTCTTCACAACATCACTGGCAGACCTAACTAGTGGAGACAAATCCAAAACTAGAAATTTCATCCTTATACCTAACGTTTCGGCTTCGATATTAGAAACTATTATACACTATGCATACAGTGGGAAGACATTGGTTAATGAAGATAATGTAAATGAACTTCTACCTGCGGCAGATCAATTCGATGTGGAAGGCATGGTGGACTATTGCACGAAGTTCTTGCTGAAGAGCTTGTCAGCAGAGAATTGCTTAGGAATATGGAGATTTGGCAAAGATTATTTCATAAAGTCTTTAGAACAAGAAGCGTTCAGGTATGTAATTTTTAGTGACACTTTATAGCAGGGTTTCTCAGAGAGGTCAGTCTTGATCTCCCGGTGTATGATAAAATTTTAGAGGGGGTCAATGATGATCAAGTGGTCAAGTAGGAGATGATAGCTGAATATGCACCGGCTCCATTAATCGGCATACTAAACATATTGTCGATCCTTCCATTACATGGTCTGCAAGCGTTGATATCTGTGTGCTTGCTTTCCGATTTGGAACCTGAATAAGAGAGGTCCGGCTACTTTGACGGTGTAACCCGGCAGTTGTGGAAGTATGCTGTCAGCGTTATTTCTTCGCCGCACGAGTAAATTCTTATCAATTTCAAGAATTTTACAGGACCAGCTATTCGTCCTCTAAATTAATCTAGACAGTCGTAGCATTTTGACACACATTGAGCTATTTATCACCCACTTAAGCGATGTTAGCTCTCCTGTCCAACAACAGATGAAACGCAATGCTGTTACGAATGGTATACTGGAATCACTAAACCAGTGTCGGATCGAACGCTTTTTTTTTTTTTTTTTTTTTGTGTTATGTTTACAAATTTTCATGTTGCGCCTACGTATACTTTTGTTTACTTATAATTCCATTCCTTGACCATTTATGAATATTCCATTGCGAGGTAATTTATCTTTTTCCTGGCATCTTCCTCACTTCTTAGTTAATTAGAAGTTGTTAACACGTGTTTTATAATGTTTAAATTGAAAAATTCTGATGTAAACACCACATTACTTCCTTTCATAGCCTATTAAGTTAAATACATTTTGCTACATTTCATTAAAACTTTTTTTTTTTCAAATTTCATTGAAGATATATTTTCTTAAAAAATGTAAAATACAGAAAAAACATAAAACACCAACTACAGTTAAAACAATTTAAAAAAATTGACAACTAAAATTAGTTTCTTTGCAGAAACAAGCAATTCGGACAGGGGACAGGAGAACAGATTATTCAATGCACAGAACTAAATGTTTACATTTGGTCGCACTTGTCAAAAAATACACTGAAGATGCAGATACGGACTTAATTCACAGTTCTGCTGAGTTTCAAATGTAAAGAAATGGCAGTTTGTTAGGCTTAATTCACCACTTAAACTTTTATATTGTTGATAATTCTAAAACTATTGCCTGCAGATTAACAAAAGTATAGAAAACGTAACTGGAACATAAAAACCACATAATTCAATCACTTTTGAAATCAAAAAATGCTCAATTTTTCAACACGTAGGAATAAAAATCTAAGCTCACCGAGCCATGTAACAGAGTGGGAAAATATATATTTTTGTATACTATTGGTGCAGCCGAATTTAAAGATAAAGAGAAGTGCACAACTACATATTATAGCAGTCCAAATTTCAATTATACAAAATCTCAACTTTCTACATCTGCTCGTTCTTGAGTTATGCGAGATACATACATACGTACGTACAGATATCAAGAATAAATCTCTGAATCCCTTTCAAATGCATTTTACAATCCTTTTTGGAAAAAAAAATCTTTTATTTTGTCCGTATGTACAGATATTAGGAAAAAAATATCGTTCAGATGATTTAGAGAGCAGTTGAAACGGACATTTTCGTTTATGTATAATACCCGAAATTTTCCGACATTACAATAATTCCTTCACTTCGTACGAAGATGTAAAAGGACTAACTACTATTGTAGTATTACGTTGTTCATCAAATTCGTCAAATACAAGTTTTAAAGTAAATGTTTAAATTGAAAAAAGACTATTATAACTCCACGTGGTTTATATAATTTGACGGTTTATCGGGGTAGGGAGGACGTGAAAATTTAAGTAGTACTAAATAATGCACGAAGTCTACTACTTTATTTTAAAAAGCCAATAATATTTTTTAAATATATGATTTTTTATACATTAAATGCCATATGCAATGCAATCTTTTCAACACTTTAGGCAAGCCAATAATTTACTACGGAAAACAAAAAAGGCTAAATATTTTTTAATGAAGTGTTTAAAGAATCAAGCAATTTTATGCTAAAGAGTTAAAAAATTGTACCAATACATTAATCCCAGCCATAACATTCATTAAAATTGGACTTCAGTGCGATTAGAGTCTATTTTTTTCTGAAAATTTGTTCACATTGATGAAATTAAAAGCAATAATAATTCATAAAGTAATAAAACAAATCCAATAAACCATACGTTTTTCAAAATTTTTGATCATATTCTTAGTAAATTGTTATCTAAGGTAGTCATGCTCGATTATTTGTATTATGATTATATTGTAGACTGTGTGTTACAGAGAAAGATGTCATTAGACCGTTGAAGAAACCATTCTTTCAAAAATGGTCAGTGCAGGAAAACGGTTGTGAGTCCCTACCGAAAACTAGAAACTCCAAACAGCTTACTTTCGCGTATGCATTGTTATATTAACTAAAATTCAAATTTTGGGTAACACAGAAATGCCAAATAGAATCCGAAATAATGCTACCAGTTTTGATTAATTTTATTATGAAAAACTGTTTTATAATTCATCCAAAGTTTCATTTTAAAATCACCGTAGGTTCTGAAAATGGGAGTACCCTTGCGAGTATATTTAATCAAAAATGAATATTGAAGTCTAGGAATTTGATTACAAATGTTGACTTTATTATACTTTCTTCTCTTATACTTCATGTATACATACTCCGACTTTTCTTTGGCCTTATTAGCTAATTTTCTTTTTTATGGGTCTTAAAATACTAACTAAACGTAAAAGTACTCTCTAAAATAATATCATCAATGCCAAGCCATTTTAAGTTTAGTTCTGAAGATAATACTATTTGGTTGTCGAAAGTTCTTAATTATTTTATGTAAATTTAATTCGTTAACTTCTGTTACTTAAATTATTTTAAAATTTATTTAATCAGTCCATGTAATTTTCAACTTTATTTTCCTTTTTATATTAAGCATGAAAATGTTTGGCTAAATTATGTTTAGCATCAGGATTACAAGAAACATGAACTCGTTGGCTGATGTAAATCCTGAAACTTTAGAAGATGGGAATCGATTTAATTTCATTTATTTGCCGCATATATGAAAAGTATCGAATTTAATATGCAGTGTTAAATTAGTATTACTGTCAAGTATATTTTCATTGTTTATAAAATATGGCATTTATGAGATTGTTGTTTAATTTTTTTATGAAATATGGATGAATTAATGAAATATGTTTTTATAAAATCATCCAGCTTCCGAATTATTATGAGATCTGCGATTTTTCTTTTTTCTTTTTTTTCAAAGTTTTTATCTCGCGAAATCTAATAAGGTATTAAAATATTTCTGGAGTTCGTTAATTAATTTAAGAAGCTCCACTGATACTAACTAGACAGTAATTTTTGAAAAAAAATTCTTAACACCATTTATTAGATTACAAATCATCATATACAGATGGTTTTAATAGCACATACGATAGGATTATTTCGGCTTTTACAATATAGTTCGTGCTTAAAATTTTATACTGACTAAAAAAAAGCTTCTATTTACAATCCTTAAATCGGCTTTGCAAAAAAGACTAGAATTAATTCTTCATATTCAAACAGAGCAGAATCAGGTGAAATTATCAGCTGAATCTCAATATGAATTCCAAAAAAAAATATTTAAATCGAAGTAAACGCTATTGAAAACCTTCGCAGCTATTTACAATGCTTGCCGTTTTTCATTCGTTCTATCTCATTCCCAAAAATCTGAGGCTCATTGGCGGTCAAGTGGTAAAAACTCCTGAATACTGCTAGTTCGCTCCAGCTTCAAATACCGGTGAAGGAACTAGCTATGATAAGTTTTCGTAGTTTTCCCCATGTATGATGCAAATCTCTTCTCCGAAAGCCGCTTTCCGTTGTGTAGATAGACCTCATATGCCCATAAGGAGGGGTAAATAAAACTTCAACCTAACTTACCCTTACTTTGTAGACTTATTAAGTTTATTTCAGAGCAGGAAGCAAGAAAAATTAACAATACCCTCATCTTCGTTAGGATTCCAACTCCGGTTGCCACACCAGATTGTGCTCGAAGTGCTTCCAGTTCCCTAGGAAGGCACGCGGTAAAAATGGAGAAAATTCCTTACATTCTCCTGCAATTAAAAGACGACTATTCAGGAAGGAACACTGAACTCAAATCCTCATAGTGAAAAATTGTCGTCTGCCACATTTTTAGTTCGGAAGACACTTGTAAGGAAGCGTCATTAGATATATTTCAAAGATGGGTTCGAACTTTTGACCTCCCGACTAGTTCGAAAGAGCTTCCATTTACACCATGTAGCACCAAGCAACAACATGTAGGAAAAATTTCCAAGCAACTTAAGTAATAAACATAATAGATTAACTGACTTATAGTAAGCACTTTCTTAATCTTCCATAAAAAGTGCTTTTTAGACATTGAAGTAAATATATAGAATTAATTATTCTCTATTAAGTTTAATTCATTCAATATTTAAATTATCCTCAGAATACTAAGAATAATTTCCAATAGCAGCAGCTTATTGTTTAGAGCTATTATAACAAGATATACAGCCTGAAAATCTACCCCCCCGCCCTCGTTAGATTGCTGGAATTAACTTTCTTAAAATTATACTCTTCAATAATTCGGAGGTCGAATAAAAGTATCTGTAGATGGAGATTTCTAAACTGATTACATTAGCCTTATAAAAATCCTTATTTCCCTTCAAATACTCTTTTTTTTTTTAATATTTAGGTAAGACAAGAAAACATGCGGAAACATAACGCTTTTGTAAAGAATTTCTAGATGCTTTTGGCAAATATCCATATTTTCAGTCTGCAGAATTTGGCAAGAGTTGTGGCATTAACTATATCTGCTGTTCCGATGGGAAATGGGCACAAATACAAAACTGTAAGAGCTAAGAATCTAGACAGATATTTAAGATGTTTCCCATCTAACTTATTCTTAAAATATTTAGCATTTGCAGGAACATCAGAAAAGGAAAAATATTCTGAAGTAATATTATTTGATCCCAAAATGTGCATTTGTT